TTCGAATGATTCGAATAAGCAATTATTCAAGTAAAGAATTATTCGAACGATTCGAATAAAAAATTAATTAAATAAAAAATTATTCGAACAGAGGATCGAATCAAGAATCATTCGAATACAATTGATAGAATAATCGATGACGAATGAATCCTTATTCGAATGAAATATGCTGTTAATCCGAGCTCTGCTAAACACTACAGCAAATCGTGGGAGTCGTGGAAATATTCCGTCTGCGCACGTTCACAAGTAAAACGTTCACTTTTGCGCTGGCAGAAAAAAAAATGTACACGCGCGCGCGCGGGCGCGCGGTCGCTCGCGGTACAGCCGATGTATTTCGCGTGGCCGACCGCTAATAAGAGAAACTTAAAAGTGATTGTTCCACTGACGTTTAACCGTTTGAACATCCGTGAAGCTTTTACATCGTAAAGAAAAAACGAGTATCAACGAGCGAAATTCGCCGGGCTAAATATTCCGCGCAGGAAATATTCAACGATTAATCGGGGTTTATTGGACTCGAAACGTAGAAACGTTCCTCGAGCTTCTAGAGCAGAAAAGAAAACAATTAAGAACGCATGCCGTTCACGCGCGCCCCGCTAATGGATACCGTGATACGATCGCGATTAAACAGCCGCTCGTTACACGCGATTCGGACTACAAATCACCCCTAAAGTCCATCGTGTGTGAACACTCCTTGATCCTTCCGTGGTACATTATGTACCGCTTTTAAACTTCCGTGCTGGGATTTGTTTCGTGTAATCGACACCACCTCGGTAACGGTGCCTGGAGATATTGTAGAAAAAGATTCTCTAGAGGAAATATTAATAATTAATATGACTTACAACAAAATTGCAAAGCGGACGAATAGGCAGTGGAGTCTGTGAAGAACTGACCGGGCTAGAAAAAAGTTAAAAATTGTCGCATTAAAAGATTGTGAAGTTTACGAATAAATTGTTGGAAATGCGGAGAAAAATTGTCAAGGCTCTAAATAAATTGCAGCATCTGCGCAAAAATTACAGGACCTATACAAAAATTGCAGGACCCATAAAAAAAATTGTAGGACCCATACAAATATTGTAAGATCCACAAAAAAGTTGCAGGATCTACACAAAAAATTGCAGGGCCTATAAAAAAATTGCAGTACCCATACAAAAATTGCAAGACCCATACAAAAAGTGCGGGACCCATACAAATATTGTAAGATCCATAGAAATATTGTAAGATCTACAAAAAAATTGCAGGATTTACACAAAAAATTGCAGGGCCTATAAAAAATTTTCAGGGCTCGTACAAAAATTGCAGGACCCATAAAATAAATTGCAGTACCTATACAAAAATTGCAGGACCCATGAAAAAATTGTGGGTCCCATGAAAAAATTCAGAACCCGCACAAAAATTGCAAGATCTACACAAAAAATTGCAGGACCCATAAAAAAATTTCTGGGGACCATGAACAAAGTGTGAGGCTCAGAAGAAAAGATTATAGAAAAAATAATGATGCTGCTGAAAACATTGTAGAGCATTCTACAAAAATTGTAAAATCCATCAGTGACTTCATTATTCGATTCTCACAACAGTATCGATCGTTTCATTCTATCTCCGTTCAACAGTATCTCAATATCATTGCTTTTGCTTCTAGCTTCGTTTCGCGTGCTCGCTATTATAACATTCTCTCTGATAAGGCTTGTCCACTAAATTGACACAATACAAACATTATTATTATCATTGTCATTATTAAAAGAAATTGCAAGAATCTTCCGGAAAAATGTGACATCGACAAAAAGATAGTGTATGTACTTCGGCAGTTCTCTCGAGACTTCCGAAGTTCTCTTGGCCACGAGTTCCGTAAACACTGTAGAAAGTGTTTGGTCAGCCTGCTTTCTTCGCACGAAAACCGAACACTTTTTTATTCGTAGCGACGTGAACCGCGCGACGAAGTGATAACGTCTCAGCGCGCGATTTTCTATTTAATTAACATAATTCGTCGACGAGACGACGACGACACTTTCACCGTGTCGCACACCCACGAGTCGCGTTTCCTTTCCAGGGCCGAGGAGGAATAATCGGCGCGTCGGACGCTGAGACGCGTCTTCCGGAATCGGCGGACGATCTCGCGAACGGTGAATCATCCTGGCGCGTCACAGCAATGGGACACTGACGACCATCTCTGTTTCGATCGATGCGTCGCGACGGTGTCGGAGGTCGGAATTGAAACCGGCAAATCCGAGAATACTAAGCCGCGATTCTTCGCCGACGCAACGGTTGTGCCATGGCACAAACTGACGTCAACGGCCGCTGGTGCGACACGCGTATCACGCGCAGTGTATTCGGGAAAAGTCGCTACGCGAGGAGTGGGGGCAGGCGACGCACGCGCGAGAGTCCCGCGCAGCGGCGCGGCGCATCTACAGGGTGGCACCTATCGTATCGTATTGTACCCGCAACTCCGCGTCGCGTCGCGTCGCCGTCGTAGTTCAGAATTACAATGCTCGCCCGGTAGACGCGCCGCGCTGCTGCGTGGGACCCCCTCCACACGCGTCGCCGCCCCACTCCTCGCGTAGCAATTTTTCCCGAATACACTGATCGCGCGCCGCTCGGCACCGGTATCGGTGGCACAAACTACAAGTTATTTCCGATTCGACTGTGAACGACTGCGAAATCGCAATTTACCTCGACGATGTAATAATAAACCTAAAATTTCAATATTTGCGAAGTTTACTGGACAATTGATCGCCGATTTTCAAACTGTAATTTAATTATAATTTTGCTTATTTATAAAATAGCAGTTCGATCCGGGATAAAACGCTGGCTCCCCATGAAAGTTTTTCATAAAACCACGCGGCCTATAAAGGGTTAATATAAATACATAGTAATGCTGGAATAAAAACGATGGTTTAACTTTTTTATTTCTAATTTCTTGCCACGATTCGAAGTCAATTCGTAGGCCATATGTCACTATTAGTAGAGTAAATTCTCCCTAATTTTCCTTTAGCTTTTAAACAAAAATGAACAATTTGGGAAGAGGAGATAGTATTATCAGAGCTTCGCGGCTCATTTTTATAGTTGCCGATCGTCAACAATGTTCATCACCTTGCACAAGGTGCAAAGCTCGAATAATCATATCTCCTCTTCTCAAATTTTTGGGAACCATTTTAGAACCATTTTTGTTCACAAGCTGAAGGAAAATTAGAGAGAATTTACTATACTATAGAATTACTATATAGTCAATTTACTATACTATACTATTGTATCTCCGCGTTTTTTTTTTACCTAATTCACACGCAAACAGTCCATTTTGTATTGTCTTTCTATTGAATATGCGTTGCGACCCTCAGCATCGACAATAAATTACACAGGCGTAGGACCAGCACATGGAAATTCACAGCAATCCGAAATTTGGCATTTCCGGGAGAAATTACTGTATATGTATTTAACGAAAAATTCGCAGCTGGAAGATAACATTCCGAGACCCGAAGAAAACGCGATTTCTCAAGGCTTTAAACGCACAATAATTCGACGAGAATCAATTTCGTGATTCGTGCACAGTGACGCGTGCTCGCGAGGTTATGTAATTATTCAGCCTCCTCGAACGGATTCCATTGCCGCGTAGACGTTCCGAGTTCCCGATTTAACCGAGCTTTCGTTTTTTCTGTTAACAGTACTTCCAGAGAACAAATCGATTGGCGGACGTGAATAGACGGCTGAAGTCGCAAATATGGAGCTCCGTGGTGACGATTGTACTCGTGGAAGCGAAGAATCTGTTGCCGATGGATATAGACGGTCTGTCGGACCCGTACGTCAAGTTTCGGTACGGAATTATTCACACCGGCATCGACCCGTGTCTCTCCGCCGCTTATTTTCGCCGTCGACAGTTTTTCATCAAGTTCAATCGCATTTCTTACTAATTTCCCTGTCCGCGTGCAACACCGCGCGGCAGCACCGTTCCACCACGCCGTGTACAGTTGACACGGCAAAGAGAACTCTAGCCGTGTCAGCCGCGAAGACATACGATCCAATAAACACTTTGACGTGTTGTGAATGCGCGGCGTTCAATCATATATGCGTGTCCGTAATGTCCCGACCGACAATAGGTTATCTGAAAGCCTCTGACGCGCAGGTTGCCTCCTCGAAGATTGATCCATCGTTTGACAGGAATTTGATCGAACAACCGGCGAAATGTTAGTGGAAAATATACGCGAAAACGTAAATTATTTTTATTCGGAAGTACAATTTTGTTGGGGACGTTTTAGAATGACTTTTTCGTGTAGAAATATTTTTTCTTTTCGCATGTTTGTACTATCAGCGAAACGGTTGGTACGTTCAGGTCTCTGAGAGACGATCCACCTCTTGACATCTATGAAACAATTGAGAGACTTGTCCGAGTATCCGATCTATGATCTTTCATTGTTCTATACTGTAATTTCTTTTTTATATGTCATTTGCTTATTCGACCTACATTCATCTTTTGTTACAAAATTGAGACAAGAAATAGAATATTAGTTGAATAAGAAGTTGTGGTTTCTAAGTTGAATAGAATATTAATGTATCATTTGCAGAAGCTCGTACAATTCTTTCTGTTGCTACCAAGTATTGCTACCTTTTGTTACAAAACTCAGACAAAAAATAGAACATTAGTTAAACAGAGTTGTAATTTCTAAGTTGAATAGAATATTAATGTATCATTTGCAGAAGCTCGTACAATTCTTTCTGTTGCTACCAAGTATTGCTACCTTTTGTTACAAAACTCAGACAAAAAATAGAACATTAGTTAAACAGAGTTGTAATTTCTAAGTTGAATAGAATATTAATGTATCATTTGTAGAAAAAATAGAACATTAGTTGATTTTAAAATTGAAAAACTTGAACACTATTTCTAAATCGAATAGAACCTCAACTATAATTTGTAAAAGCCTCGTACAGTTCGTAACTACGCAATACTGAAGCACTTCGATCCAAGCCTAAACGATTATTTCAGTAAAATGATCGATCACCTTCGATTAAATGTAGCACGACCTGTTCGTTAACAACGCGTAATCCTCTTTCGACAGTTTGGGAACCGAGAAGTACAAGTCGAAGGTGATTCACAAGACCTTGAATCCGGTTTGGCTGGAGCAATTCGATCTTCATCTGTACGAGGACCCGTACCTGGGCCAAGAATTGGAGGTGACTGTCTGGGATCGGGACAAGAGCCACCAGGACGACATCATGGGGCGAACGGTGATCGATTTGACGACGCTCGAGCGTGAGACCACTCATCGTTTATGGCGCGACCTCGAGGACGGCTCCGGAAATGTTTTTCTTTTGTTGACGATCAGTGGAACCACCGCTAGCGAGACTATCAGCGACCTAGCCGCGCACGAGGACACTCCTCGCGAACGAGAGCAATTGTACCAAAGATATTCGGTATTGAATACCCTGCAGAGGGTACGGGACGTTGGTCATCTGACTGTGAAGGTGCTTATCTCTTTCGTCGTGTGCTCTGTTTGCTGGTTTATTTTTGATAGAAGCATTCGTTTGCTTGAATTAAAAATAACTCATTATCAGGCTGCGGATCAAATAAACATTTATACTCGTTATCTCTCTTATCAAACAGAAATTAGATAATAACGTATTTCTTCTCTCAGTGATGTTTGCACAGCGAAAGTAATGCTGCAGTATTTTTAAATTATCCTAAATTCGCTGTTCTACGCTCCGTTTATCCATTTTTGCTACAAATGTCAGTCTATTCGTCTATTCGTTGTAAACGCAGGGAGATATTTGATTGTTAATTTTAACGAGCTCGTGTTTAATACGTTGTTGTTGTTTTCTGAATTGGTAAATCTAATCAGTCTGTTTTGAATAAATACATAGATTGAATTTTATGGCACTCGCTAGGGTCAAAGAAAATAAATGGACAATCTTATTCGTGCAACGATATTTTAAAGAACTATTTAAAATGATTTCTGTACTCGGCACTGGTTGATATAAAAATTGTTTTTACAAGGGTCGACTGTATTTTTGTTGTTGCAGGTGTTCAGAGCTCAGGGTCTCGCGGCGGCCGATTTAGGGGGAAAGAGCGATCCCTTCTGCGTCCTCGAATTGGTGAACGCCAGACTGCAGACTCAAACCGAGTACAAAACTCTCGCGCCAAACTGGCAGAAGATCTTCACCTTGTAAGCGACCGTGTTTAGTCCTTTTAACAGGCCCAGAAACTTTCAGCAAATTCCTCGTTTCTGTCACTATCTGCATTTGTCTAAAAATGTCCTAGAAGAAGAATGTCCTAGTAGAATAAAAATGTAGTCTTCGCTAATTTTTCAAGAGTATATTAATTCTTTAAATACTAGTTCTAGTTGACGGTTGTCTAAGAAAGTTCGATCTTGGCTCACCTTGTATAAAGTAGAAGAAAACATTTAGCTAGCTTCACCATATCACACGTTTGCACACATTTACACGCAGATGTTTACACGATTGCTTGAAAGTACCAACGCGTTTTCAGCAACGTGAAGGACATTAATTCGGTGCTCGAGGTGACGGTGTACGACGAGGACAGGGACCACAAAGTAGAGTTTCTCGGGAGGGTCGCCATACCATTGCTGAGGATTAGAAACGGCGAGAAGAGGTGGTACGCGTTGAAGGACAAGAAGCTTAGGGGCCGAGCGAAGGGAAACGCGCCGCAGATCCTGTTGGAGATGAACGTCGTCTGGAACGTGTTCAGGGCCTGCGCGAGAACCTTGAATCCCAAGGAGAAGAAGTACATGGAGCCGGAGATCAAGTTCAAGAGACAGGTCTTCTTGCGGAATGTACTCAGGCTGAAGGCTATCATCATTATCTTCATCGACATTGGGAAATACGTTCAGTACGTAATTACCTTCTTCTCTGAAAATTCGTGCAGAATTTTTGCTGTAGCCATGCCAAGGTGCTTCGTCATTTATTACACTATGCAGAATGTTTACGCGTACAGTAATGTCTCCCTTACTGACGCTCACATTGTCCACTAAAATGGACAATTTGCGAAGAAGCGAAGTCGCTTAATATTTATTCTAGAAATGTTCTTACATATGTACACAAAAGTATAGACATTGTAGTGTGCACATTTCAATGTCACAGATCCTCTTGGAAGCACTTCTTATTTTTTGAGGTTAATGTATTCCCTTTCTAATTTGAATCTACACTTTTTAACACGAATTGAATGAATTAATTTGAATAACATTTAATTGAACATCATTTTCATGTTGTTCAAATTCATTCGTTCAATTCATGTTAAAAAGTGTAGTTCCAAATTAGAAAGAGAATACATTAACTTGAAAAAATAAGAAGTGCTTCCAAGAGGATCTGTGACATTTAAATGTGCAATACCACAATGTCTTTATTTTTGCGTACATATGTAAGAACATTTCTAGAATATATATTAAGGGACTTCGCTTACAATTCCATTTTTTTTTGCAAGGTAAAAACGATTCACAAACATGTACGTGTAAAAATTGAACATCATTTGCGATGGTAGAGAAGTACAGTAATGTCTCCCTTCCTGACGCTCAGATTACCCACTAAAATGGATACTTTGGGAATAGAAGATACGATTATTCGAGCCTTGCGACTCGTTTTTATAATTGTAGACGATTTATAACTATAAAAATAAACCGCAAGGCTCGAATAAGCGTATCTCCTCTTCCCAAATTGTCCATTTTTGTGGTCAATCTGGGCGTCAATTAGAGAGACATTACTGTACAGTGAAACAAAGTATGCCAAACCGATTCCATGCCACCACTGTGCATCGACAGCGTGTATCAGTAATAAATTGTGCACTTTGACGGGTCGTGAAGAGCGATGCTTATTTTGTGTTCGATGAATGCGTTCAGGAGCTGCTGGGAGTGGGAAAGTAAAATGAGAAGCATCATCGCGTTGGTCATCTTCATTTTCGGCTGTTACTACTTCGAGCCTTACATGATACCGGGTGCGGCGTTACTTATACTTCTGAAGTATTATTTGGTGAGTAGAGTAGACGATATCTCACAGCATATCTCTGAATTAATCTTTACGCACACCGTTTCTATATTACTTCCAAACACTATATCATAATTTTGCTGACTTTACGCAGGGTGTTTCACTGATTCGTTTCGAAGCCATTTTATTGACCTCAATGTTCTTGCAATTTTACTCGTACAGAAGACCGTTTTGTCGTGCGTGAGTACAAAAAATAAATTTTAAAAAAAGTATAGCGTATTAGTCGCCTCCCAGTTGCCGATAACTCTGGAAACAGTTCCTCGCCGTCGTTCTCAGAAACTTCCCTTACCCTCTCGGTAAATAATGGCCATTGTTCTTGCGTACAGCGGAAGAGCATCCCGTCCAATTAAACTTGCAAGAAAGTTGAGCTCAAAGGACTCTCGAAGGTTTTTTTAGAAAATGGCTGACGTCAGAGTTAATGAAACACTGTACTCCTCTCTCTTGTCTTAACGATTCAGTGACTTTCACGTCCCCGTTGCCGGTATTTGCTCGACCCTGTACCGAATTCTCTCTCTCTCTCTCTCTCTCACTCTCTCTCTCCAGTAATACATACCTGCCGTGTTTAATTAATCAATTAATTAATAAACTAGAACACACGATTACGTACACGTAGTGGCCAGCTCCCAGAAAGGAAACTTTTGTGCATTTGTTGACCAGGTAGAAACATCAGTTTGTTATAGAACCAGTCGCTATTAATTAGCCGATAGAGAAAATTAGTCTTTCCTGTCGGAGAAACGAAGTTCGTGTAGCAGAGTCGTCCTGTAAATAGCATGAATCTGTTCTATCAAGTTCGAACACCAAAATACATTCTACCACACTGAATTGCTTGATGCTCAATAACGCTTAATTACCACCGTCGAGAAGTTTGCGAACACCGTCGTCACACTCTCTTTTGTAAGTTTTTCGAACAAGCTCGTGTCTATCGCTTTTCGAATTTACTGTACATACATCGTATGATCGAGTGTGCTCAAACTTTTAATAGCGTGCGAGGGCACCTAATCATTCATGTAAAGGACACCTAATCGTTCGCATCATTCCAGATGAAATATACGTAGCCAGTAAAATTACAGTATAAATTCAGTAGAATTTCGTTCTTCATTAATTTCTTCAATTTACAATTAAATCTGATGTTTGAAAAATATTCGTTTCTAGTTTACAAATACATAAAATAATTTGGAGAAAATAAGATGCATGAAATAACTTACAGAAAATAATTTGTATAAAATAAAAAGCTGAAAATTTGAAATGTCGTCAAGATTGACGTCGTTCAGTATGTTCCGTTCACGCTTCCAAGGAAGAACTTTGGTCTTCTGGGTCTTTCTCGAGGGCGCAGACAATCCTCGAGATTAATCGTTCTTTCTTCGTTCTCCCGCGTGAATGTCAACTTTGACCTCGGCAGACATTTCAATACAAAACAGCGCAGAAATGATTAGGTGTTCCCCGGTTGCAATGGTCTCGTCCTTTGTAAACGAAATGCTCGACGACCTTTACCTGCATCATCGCATGTCCACCTTTTCTCCGCTACTCTGCCAGCTTTGCGGAGATGGGAGTGGGCTGAATCAATGGATTTCCGGACAGGTTGCAGTGATCACCGGCACGCCCTTAACTCATCACTCCAGCTCCCATTTACACGACGAGGGTGATGAAGGCCCGACCACCCCTGGGGACGACGACGACGACGACGACGACAAGGACAAAGTGAGTCCGCTAGTTCCATTCGAGTCGGAGAGTTTAATCGATTCGATGCGAATCGATAGTTTCAACGTGATTGCCATTGGATTAACGCCTGAAAATTTGTTCATATAATCAGAATAATTGTACCGGTGAAATTCAAGCGAGAAAATTAGATTTTAGGAGCGATTTGAGGGATTATTTAAACACTGTAAATATTCCAAATCAAGTGTCAATTGTAATATCTTCATGGTTTTGTATTCTAGTTATACATTTTTATTGTAAATGCATCAAATCAGGCTGCTTGAAAAGATGTTAATTAGTTTCTTGTGAGAGTAATGTATTACAAGCGAAGAAACAGTGAAAGTAAAATGCTACAAAATTTCATTTGATATTTATATATATAATATAAATAATAATACCTAGCCAATTGCTGACAGTTAATTCACTTTAAAAATAAGATAAAAATAAACTTTAAAGATAAATTTTAACAGTTGATAAAAAATTGTTCAAATGTATTCAAAAATATTGAAGACTGCTAGAAAAAAATGAGAATGTGTGTCTTCATAAGCGTGTGGGTGTTTCAGGAAGAGAAGAAAAGTCTGAAGGAGCGACTGCAGGCGATCCAGGAGGTGACCCAAACGGTTCAGAACTCGATCGGTTACATAGCGAGCCTGTGCGAGAGGGTGAAGAATCTCTTCAATTTCACAGTCCCCTATCTGAGTTACTTGGCGATAATGCTGGTGATCGTCGGCGCCGCTGTTCTTTATTTCATCCCAGTCAGATACCTTATCTTGGCGTGGGGCATCAATAAATTCTTCAGAAAGGTCATCCGGCCTCACTCGGTCCCGAACAACGAGGTTCTCGATCTGATATCCCGAGTGCCCGACGACGAGGAGTTACTCAATTACAGGTAGCCAATCGTCCTGCAAATTTTAATCCGATGCCCCTGGGACTCGTACACTCTGTATCTCTCTTTCTCTCTCTCTCTCTCTCTCTATCTATCTCTCTTTGTCCCACGAAACGTTCTTTTAACCCTCGCGAGGCGATGGTCTGGTCAATTTTGACCCAGGGTATTTAAATCGTTCACTTTAATTACGTAATTGTCGATGATTAAATCATGTTAAATTGGGATAAATACATTGGGAACAATAGAGGGACTAAATGGATGCTGCAAGTAATGTCTTGAAACATACGTTTGGAAAAATTGCCGAGCAAAGCTTGAAATTGTTAGGTTATGGTTCACCATCGGAGGGTCGATTGTTCGCGATGCCTCGAGTAATTAAAATGAACAATGGAACAATAGTTACTGTTCTTTTAACCCTCACGAGGCGATGGCTTGGTCAATTTTGACCCGGGGTATTTAAATCGTTCACTTTAATTACATAATTGTCGACGATTAAATCATGTTAAATTGGAATATATACATTGGGAACAATAGAGAGGCTAAATGGAGTCTGCAAGAAATGTCTTGAAACATTTGTTTGGAAAAATTGCCAAACAAAGCTCGAAATTGTTAGGTTATGATACGCCATCGGAGGGTCGATTGTTCGCGATGCCTCCAGTAATTAAAATGAACAATGGAACAATAGTTACTGTTTTGTACGACGCCAGAGTGTTCTGTCCCAAGTGTACTGAATCCCGAAATTTTATTTTATCCAGCGATTTCGAGGTCACTAAAACGAAATTTTGAGAAGACCGTTTCCAAACGTCCGCTAGAATCCGGGTAAGGCTGAACCACGAGAGAACTGTCACACGACTCTTTCCGATTATGTACTTTCAAAAAATACTTACAAGTATTCACGGTTCCTGGATGTCTTCTTACCGTCGACATACGACGAACACGTTTTAATCGTTTAGACACACACACACACACATTTACACTATGCAGGGTGTCCCAAAAATGTCTCGCAATCCAGAAATAGCGGATTCCTCAAATCATTTGAAGCAACTTCTTCCGTTACAAAAATGTTCTCCGAGGCACCGTTAACGAGTTATTAACGAAAAACAGTGACCAATAAGAATCGAGTACGGCTGACGCGAGGCGGTCCAGCCAACCAGCGCACGAAGCCCAGTTCTGCTCATTGGCTCGGTCGCCTCACACCAGCCGAGCTCACCTCTCATTGGTCACTGTTTTTCGTTGATAACCCGTTAACGGTGCCTCGGAGAACATTATGGTAAAGGAAGAAGTTGCTTCAAATGACCCGAGGAACCCGCCACTTTCGGATTGCGAGACATTTTTGGGACATCCTGTATACAGCACATCGTCACCAATTTAATTACTTTACAACATTGTTTTCTTCCGTTGGGAACGAGAATCTATTTTACCGTGTATGAATGTTTTTCTTTCTCTTTTCTATCGATATGTCAACACTGTTTATTCTAGCATTTAAGAACACGTCTTTGTCTCTGGTAAATCTGTTGGCAAGTCAAAGCATGGACTTAGTGCGATCATCCGGTGATTCAACGTAATTCACAGAGTTGTTCTTACAAGAGGCACTAATCTGAACTTCCACTGCATACTACTTTCTAAGTGTCTAACGAAATCTGGATGTTCATACCAAACAATTCATTGTTCCAACGAAACCGACACTATCTGCTTATCCTATGTTCTTTGATGTTAACCATTCACTCAGCGTGGAGGATAAATGTAACGTTATTCAGTTCATTCACAAGAGCTGCGAGACAGCTTAAATTATAAACACAACGTGTAATAAGTAGACTGCGGATTCTTTTTGCAAAGTAAAAATTGTCTGCATTAGTTGCAAGAAATGGAAATCAAATAGTAAGTTCTTCAATCTTACTTGAATTACTTTAACAGATTAAAAATAAGACACATTGACATTTTATGATTCTCTTGATCTTTCTTCTGTCTTAAATTGAACCAATTTTGTTATAGATGCATGAAATCCGCAGTCTAATAAGATTCCTCAGACTCCGCAAGCCAGCCAGGCACTTGTTTATCCAGGCTTCTACTTGTAGCAAGTTTCAGAGAAGCTCTCCGACTCGAATCCCAGAGACTGCAGTGTTCCTGGCCTGGTTCTGTAAGCGTAAGAAGTCCACTGCTTAGGATTATGAGTCTGAACAGTTCCTGGGTTGAGTATCTGAGTCTGAAGAGTCTCCGCTTGGATCTGCGAAGCTGAAGAATCTCTAGCTTGGATCTCCAGGCCTCAAGAGAAGATTTTGCTTGGAACTACAGAGTCTGAATAGCTTTTGGTTTGAGTCTGAGTAGCCTTTGGTTTGACATAACCTTGACATAACCTTTGGTTTGAGTCTGAGTAGCCTTTGGTTTGAGTCATTGTATTCGAGGACCCCCTCGCTTCTTCCAAAAGTTACATCTGTCCTGCAACTGGTGTTTTCGTGAATCTCGATGTAAATCAACGAAGTTACTCTACCGGGGACGAGAGCTCAAGGTGCGTTTGCTTTGCAGGGAGTTGAAACCTTCACCGACAGCGGACTGCGAGAAAGCTGGCACCTCGGGCAGCCTGGGTACCTCGAGCATGTCGCGGCGAGAGCAAAGGAAGAGACACAAGGCCGCGTAGCAGCATGCCCCGCGGCCAGAAGTCGCGGGTCTACGATCGCCGAGCATCCTGAGGACGGTCCTGCTACGCCGGAAGATGCGCAGCCGGAAAGAATCGACCGAGAATCCGGATGTGATCGACATAGACTGAGAAACACTACGTTTTCACTAGTAGAATCCTAGGCTAGGGAGGATGTCTGAGACCATAGTTACCACTCTCGTCGATCGAGCACGTACGCCGCGCGTGGTATGCCCTCGAGACGAGACCGGTTCTTGGTTCTTTTCGCGAGAACGTTGCAACGAGTTCGCTATCTGCCTCTTATGTTACATACTTAACGTAATCTAGTAACGACCTCCGTGTTCTCTTCCGCGCAAAAAGGTCTCCTTTTAATAAATATTTTTAGATCCATTTTAATAGATTGGACAATGTTCTCAAATTATTCACAGTCACATTTTTGGTCACTTCTCGTCAGTTCTGTCATAAATCCATAAAATCCGCAGTCTAATTAATATATCACTATTTCTTAGTATAAAGAATGTTCGTTTCTCTTCGCTGGTCGATATTTAGTATATAAATGTAACAGGAAGTCAATAGAAGATTGTTCATTTACATTTTTTAACCCTTTACACTCGAAACTACTTTAATTCCAAAATGAAGGTATTTGTTTCAACCTACAGTATTTCCACTTGATACAATTGTTTTTTATTTGATATATATGAAATTGAACGCGTATGCTTACAGAAAACTTCTCTATTGTTTAACAATTTATCGGATACAGACAAATTTATTAATGTGAAAATTATTGTAAAATAGTGTAGCAATTTTTGGGCGTCGCCTCTGAGTCGCCACTCGAGTGCAAAGGGTTAATATTTTATATGCCGAGCGAAAACGTTGAATTGAATATATTGTAACTGTGAAGACTGTTTTTTCCGAGGTAGACGATGGTAGCAAACTCGTTAATATCGTTGCGCCTGTGGTCGAGAAATCGCCGAACGACGTTTAAGTAAAGAAATTTCGTTCGCGTTCAACTGCAAATCATTGAAAGTAACTTCGTCGACGGTGTCGCCGAGGCATACCGCGCGCATCGTTGCTAGGTTTTCCGTTCAATAGTTCGGAGAATGTACATCGAGACTTAAAGACAGTATTTTTCGTCTAGATAGTTTCTTCCTGTGGTAACAATCGTCGAACGTAGTTGCGTGGAATAGCGTGGACGATGAGTCTCGCGTGTAATAGACGGTCAAGAGGGAAGTCGAACATTATTATCGCGAGTCGCGCGCAGATTTTTATACAGGGTGTCTCGAAAATATCTCGCAATCCGGAAATGGAGGGTTTCTGAGATCGTTTGAAGCAACTTTCTCCTTAGCGAAAATGCGAACCGCGGCTTCGTTTACGAGTTATCAACGAAAAAGCAGTGACCAATGAGAGGCAAGATCTACTGGCGCGAGACGGCCGAGCCAATGAGCGAAGCTGAGCTTCGCGCGCTCGCTGGCTCATCAGCAGAGCTCGCTTCTTATTGGTTGACGTTTTTCATTAATAACTCGTAAACGAAGCCGCGGTTTGCATTTTCGCTAAGGAAAAAGTTGCTTCAAATAACCTAAAGAATCCACCATTTTCGGATTGCGAGACATTTTTAAGACACCCTGTATTCCAAGTATTCGTTAAAGCATCGTGTTTTATAATATATTTTTAACGCGACCGGATTATTTTCTCGAGTCGTTCTTCTGCAAACTAGCAATGTCACGAAAATAGAAGATCTTGTTGTCGGGAATTCTATGAAACCTCGCCGGTTCCCGTGAAACCGGCTTAAAGGAAAACATACACGCCCCCGCGCTCCGAGATAGACAAATAAACGAGTAAAACGCTTTGTTTGTGCAAGGAACATGTGTTTGACATTCCTCTTGACCAGCCAGCAATAGAAGTGGTCTTTGCAATTATCGATATCTTGCTGACAGAGTTGTTCAGAGAAAAAAGAAGATAACACACATTTGTCGGTGTATCATCAGAAAATACTGAGAAAACGTTGAACGATGGGTATTTAAATATTTTTATATGGATTTACTTTAGCAATTAGAAGAACTCAATGTTCGGTCTTCCAAGCTGACCTCGTTCTTCTAATCTGTCATTTTTCTCAACGTTATCGAAGTCGTTGGAATCATGACGGTCGTTTACGAGTTCAAACCCGATTGTTTATTCGACTAAAAAATTGACGCTCCACTGTTCATCGCTCGCAATTATTCATTCCCTGTCGGAAATCGAGCGTTTACATTTTTACAATTATATTAAACGAGAGAAAACAAAACATACAATTAATAGCAACGGTCTGCTGTTACCGCGAATCGAATTGTACAGTGCACGAGGGGTGAAAGTGCAAATAAACCCTTTGCGGACGAAACCGCTCGACGGGTATTGCGTCGCTGTGGACGACAGGTATTGGATATAAAATAAAAATGTTATAAGATACAATTATATTATTATAAGATTATAAATATGTGGAAAACTTTGCTGGTCTCACTGGTAGTGACACAGAAAGACTGATTTGTCAAACTGAAATTCGTTCTGAACCTACGGTTAAATTAATAAATTCATATTAATAATTAACGCTATGCCGTCCGCAGATCTTAGATACGATTCTTTTGTTTGACGCTGGCATAATAGCTTGGAAATTTTAGATTTTAAACAAAATTTCGAAGATGGCGATAATATAAATTCCTAAAATTAAGATAAGTCATCCAAGAATTTTCGTGCTTAATTCTTAGTTAAATAAGCACAATGCTATAGTTCGTTTGCTGCCTTTTAATACCCAAGAAATATAGTGGTACCACCGGCATACAACAGATAGTTTTTGCATGGCACCAGCGTGGTGCCACCGGACGGTATAGTGTTAATAAATTAATTTTAAAAAAAACGGTAAAAAGACTTGGGCGGCTATTTGCCGACACTCGTCCGCAAAGGGTTAAAACTAACGATTTAGTTATTCTGTTAATAGACCGACGATGTACGGTTCCCGTTGACGTCAGAAAGCTGTCGATAACTGTACAGTCAAGCCCATCGCTAGTCGAAGGATAGACAAAAAAGCTCTTGAAAGTAATCCCGCGTAAGCGGGAGGGGACCGCGTTTCGAGCATATCAAACGGCAAATATAAAAAGTGAGAGGAAAACGGTAATTGAGCGAGTAACGTGCGTTTCTTTTTCTGTTTCGATAGCAAGCGCGACGCGGGGTTACAGCGTTTTCACAGAAACTGCTAGAAAACGCTGTATCCGCAAGAAACGCGAGCATGATTCCCGGCCAGGGTTATCCTCGCCGATTCGTTTCGTCCATCGGTGTCGTAGATACACGTAGCTGCTGTGAGCAAGTCGTTACCGAGAGAAAGCGAGCGAGCGAGCGAGAGAAAGAGAGAGAGAGAGAGAGAGAGAGAGAGAGAGAGAGAGAGAGAGAGTGAGAAAGAGAGCCACAAAGGGGAGAGAGAATTAACAAAATAATGTATAAAGGACAGCGTTGTTTTGTGGCAGCGTCGCGGATTCGATTAGCCCGCTGCCATCCTTTTGGGAGCGACGAACGAACGTCCGTTCGCTTAGCTGTTAAGCCCCGCGGAAGTTGCCTCGATAACGTTGACTGCCAGATGAATTACTATCTTTTTCGTTTCTATCCCGAAACTCGGGCATGCTCGTTTCATTCCGTGTCGGTACCTGCGAGCGATATCAATTAAGCTTGAGAAATTCGATGTATGCATCTCGAAATTCGTCGATGATGATAGGGTACAGGTATAGTTTTCTAAAATGTTTAGCATGAAAGTGTCTTTTTACTCGATCCGGGCGACGTTTGCTTGAACGATTAACGAAAACCCGGTCGTAGAAACCATTCGTACTGTACAAAATTTCACTGTTAGCCCGGATACGGAAAAGAACGTCTGCAGTTTCATTTCGTGAGATCTGTTCTATTCGGTTCGTTCGTGTTAGAAATATCGTAGGGAAACGCTCCAACGTATCCGGGTTCGGAAGATGTAACCAAAATATATATATAGATATATATAAACGTTTCGACCATCCAAGCCGTTCCGATTCTGTCGTCCCGGGATGGACGACAATGGCAGTCAATCCATTAAACGCATGTTCTTTTGAACAATCTAAACAAAAAAAAAAGAAAATCGTTTCTATCACTGTTTCGACGCTAATTACTGTACAGTATTTTCCCTCGTTACTTGTTGCCCCCTGTAATCACCTTCTCCGATTACAGGGAATAAATAAATCGAAGATTATCGATCGCGTAGCCGAGAGAGAGAGAGAGAGAGAGAGAGAGAGAGAGAGAGAGAGAGAAATGCCGTTGATCCCTCGATATATGAGACTCGCAGAATTCAACCGCGACTAGCGTATAACGAGGGAATTACTTCTGAACGCGTGTTCGATCGCGCGATCTTCCGATCTAGAGGAAAACGAAGACACAAGGAGTTTTAGATCGCAGCGCAGAAAATTCTTCGTCGTTCCTGAAACGAAATATGTAGTCTTACCTTACTTCGGGCTTCGTCCCGTCGTTAGTCTCTTTAATAGCGTTTAATATTATCGAATTATTCGTTCCAACGCACACTTTCGTGGCGTCAGACGATCTCCTCGAGCATGAATCGGTGTCGGGCGTCCTGTCCTCGCGAGGAGAGTGAGTTGTGTCGTTAGCGTACCACAGTAAATTCTTCCTAATTTAACCCTCTCAGTTAGTACACAAAAATGGACGATTTGGGAAGAGGAGACATAATCACGATTAGTCGAGTCTTGCGACACGTTTTCATATTTACCGATGGTCAACAACTATACAAGCGAGCCGCAAGCCTCTTCCCAAATTGTTCATTTTTGTCTCCAAGCTGAGGATCAATTAAGAACAATTTGCTGTATATTGGATCACTGATTACAGTTTCAACGAATTGAAAGCTATAATTTGGAAGCAACGAATTGTTTCGCGCATTGTCAAAGATTTTTCAAAGCTTAGAAACTCTTGTACTTAATTCCATTGTAATCTGTACAATTGAGGAACTACGTTAAATCCTCTGCAATTGTACCCTCGGCTTGTAAACAAATATGGACAATTGGAGAGGATTTTCTGTATCTCAGAATATTGACTCGAATCGAGTATAGGTCGTCTCGTGGTGACGACGTAGTACCTTCTGTCCATAAACTGTTATTGCATAGCGACTATAGTTGATAATGGACCTCAACGTACAGACTATCGAAAGTAGGCCGTGCAGCTGCGACTATTATCGATAATGGGGCACAGTTAATTGTCTGGTGCCTCGTTCCGATATTCAGATAGCGATCGCAATCGTTTTCATTCGCAGACTATATTAAACAGAGGCCCTATCGCGACGATCGTTGATAACAGAACACTGTAGACTGGCTCTGTCGATAATGACAGTGGCTATATTCAGAATATGAATCGAGTCGGTGCTGTTTCGTAGGTTGTTCAAACTATTTAGGTTGAGTAATAAGTCCGTTTGCGTTTTCTTATTATACAATTTCAGGCTAATCTACCCTGTCTTGAAGCAGACACTGTCGTTTAAGCTAAATTGCATAGAAATAACTCTACGGGAACGTATCTTAAAATTCATCCGAACTTCTCCTTTTAAGTCTTGTAAATTCCACGATACCAGGGGTCGATTCATTTTAATTTCGCAAAATGATCACGTTATTCCATTGCAATATAATCTAACCTGTATTAAAATAGATACTTTCAGCTTTCGTTTAAGCTAAGTCGCGTAGAAATAACCCCACGAGAACGTATTTTAAAATCCATCCGAACTTCTCCTTTCAAATCTTATAAACCCCATGATGTCCGAGGTTGAATCAATTTAATTTCTCAAAACGATCTCGTTATTCCATTGCAATATGATCTACCCTGTATTAAAATAGACACCTTCAGCTTTCGTTTAAGCTAAGTCGCATAGAAATAGACCCACGAGAACGCATCTCAAAGTTCATCTGAACTGTCGCTTTGAGTTCGTGTAATTTTCCTTGCCTTTTCCTTGCAACGTTCAACGAGAACTGGCGTAAAATGTAAACAGAACTGTCACGTGATGCGTGCTGTGTGATCACGTGATCCGTGCCCGAATATTGTGATTCGGTCCTGGCCCGATCGCGCGTCGCTCGCGTGCACCTAGCTGTTTACATTTTGTGCCAGTTCTCGTTGAAGTATAGGTGTCAGAGGTCCGCGAACGGACTTAATACAACATAACCTAATATAATACAATATTTAACGTTTCTCCTTTCTTCGGTTCGCGTTTCTTAAACGGAAAATTTCGGATATCTTGCCGGAGGAAGTTGCAGACGAGTTGAAGCTGTAATCAATGACACCAATGTAGCCAATGTCTGTTATAATAACATATACATATGTAGATCTGCTGGATCCACAGAAGTATTTTCAGAGCAACAAAGGAACATATCAGATTCCCCGATCAATACCGAGACCCGATCGATGAAAGTATCGTGGCGTCTGCAAAGGCGATTCCGAGTCAGCTTCGCAGAAATTACTGTACAGTCCGCTCCACGAATCCAGGATAACGAAATTCTGCGACGCCGAATATGTGGTCGGAATCGTGCCGCGAGACGTGCTCGCTCGTCGACGAACGACACAACAGTCGTCGAAAACGAACGGAAGAGACCTAACCGGGTGAAATTATCGTCGGCAAAAGGTAAAAGTTTCTCCGGCCGGTGGCATTACTATTTTTATAAGAATAACAGTCGTCGTTGTTCCCAGGACGCGACGGTGTTCTGGCTCGGTCGCCGATTGAATAACGCGCCGGGCCGACTCCGTAACTTTCCTCGTCCCGAACATTACACGCTGCCGCCATTTTCTCTCTCTCGCTTCCGAGGTTTTTCCTCCTACGCGATTGTGCAATTCGTCGTTCTCATGGAAACAACGGCCGCTGCTTCCGCGTGGATTTCATTGTCGTTTCCGGTTCGTTACGGTCGCCGCGGAAACGACGTTCCTCTTCGGTTTGCTGAAAAATTGGTGGTATGCCGCGGAGGAATCCCTTCTTTCTTTCTTTTCGCGAATCGCGAAATTTAATTTTAATTAACCGGTTCTACTTTTTTTTTCTCATTCGTTCGTTCCACTTCGTTTCGTCTTGGCCTCGAAATGTTCGCGACAGAATTTACGAATATATTTTTAGCTTTCATTGAAGTCGTAGTTCAACCAGCAAATTTTTTTTCAATCTCTGCGACTGAATATTTTGTGTATAAAAATTTGTTGCTTCGTTGATGACTGCTTTTTTGTTCCATCGTTTGTTATTTTCGTGCAAATAATATGCTCGTCATTACTGAAAAATAATTTTCGTAAGAACAAGATATATTAACGACTGTAAACAAAGTATTTTATTAAGGACAGGATACATTAAGGACTGCAAGAAAAATGGATAAAAAGAATTGTCTACGTTCAAGCGCCATTTTTCAATGCCATAACGCGTAAATTAATTTTTTTGTTCGGAGGATCGGAATCGCTTCGACGACGTTGGAGATGACTGGGAAATGACGCGAAGCATGGAGTGGGGGAACGAAATCGAAAAGCAAAATGGCGGCAGTCGGAGGAAGCGCGGGTTCCAACGAGCAAGTTTTGGGGGAGTCTCGCGGTTTGCGTTCGGTTTTTAATCGATCGCGCGACCCGTTACATGGAATATTACGAGAAATACTGGCACGCATGCTCGAGGAGGGAGGTAACGCGCGGAATTAATTAATCCTAACCGCGATTTTACGGTTCGTGCCGGCCGATGAGAAAGCTGAACACGAGGAGAGGAGAGAGAGAGAGAGAGAGAGAGAGACATCGTCGATCCATTTATCCGTTTTTTCGAGAACACGAAAACTTCGCCTTTTTTTCTACAGGCTCTCGCTGTCGATCTTGCCGTTACTGCACACATATATGGCAGGATCGCGCGTTATGCCATCGAGGACGCGGAGGAAACCGTACAATTTTACAGGCTGTTCCATTTTCGTTCGCGAGAAAATTCATCGCTAAAATACATCGACTTCGAGGAAATTAATTCCTCGATCTAAACAAAAAAAAACAGAAAAGAATACAAGGCTCGTTCAAAGAGCCCTTTCGCTTGTTTTAAACGGTCTATATCTTTTTGTACAAAATCGTGCGAAGATACGTGCACACGTATGCACGTGTTCGTGAATGTAAAATGGAGCATCCGGCGCAGATCGTTCTAAAAATCGCAATAACCCAGATACATGCTCCCTTTCCCCACGAAGGTACGCGTCTTCAATTTTTTACTCTCACTTGTCTACATATTTATCGATTTCTCTTCGAAGTAACTCGATCCCTCGGGTCCTCGGATAATCCAATATGGCGGCTGGAAGACGCTGGCTGTCGCGCCGGCATATCGCCCCCCCCCCCCGCACCGTCGTCCGCCAGACTTTTAACAGCGGCGCACAAACACCGCTCGAAGCAATATTCGAACCCTTCGAAGTGTCGAACGGCGAATCTAATTAATCATCGTTTGCCAAGCCGCTTTTCGACCCGCGTACATCGCTCCGGTCGCACGCGAACCCACCGCTTTTCCCCGTGTTTCCCCATCGATTTATTATTTACAGGCAGAGAGCGCAGTTGAAAGCCGGGCTTCTCGCGTTGGGAATGCAGCAGAGCGCGATTTATTTCTCGATAGACCGTAAAACTTCGTTCGTTCATCGATTTTCAATGATTCCGGCGCGTTAAACGCTCGCAAATATCCGCGATCCGATCGATCGTCGGTTATACAGGGTATCCCGAAAATGTCTCGCGATTCGGAAATGGAAGGTTCCTGCGGTCATTTGAAGCAACTTTTTCCTTTGCGAAAATTTTCTCCGAGGCTTCATTTACGAGTTATTAACGAAAAATGCTGACCAATAAGAGGCGAGCTCAGCTGGCGCGCGGTGGCACAGCCAACGAGCACACGGAGCCCAGTTCCGCTCATTGGCTCGGCCATCTCGTGTCAAATGATCTCGCCTCTGATTGGTCACTGTTTTTCGTTAATAACTCGTAAACGAAGCCGCGTATCGCATTTTCGCTAAGGAAAAAGTTGCTTCAAATCACCTCGGGAATCCCCTACTTTCGGATTGCGAGACATTTTTGGGACACCCTATACATATTCCCCGTAACTTTGTTACATACTTACCTGATACCCTATTTACGTGTACGTCGTTGGATAACGGAGCCGGTCGTCCGTGAAGTCTTTCGACGAATCGTAAANCTCCGAGGCTTCATTTACGAGTTATTAACGAAAAATGCTGACCAATAAGAGGCGAGCTCAGCTGGCGCGCGGTGGCACAGCCAACGAGCACACGGAGCCCAGTTCCGCTCATTGGCTCGGCCATCTCGTGTCAAATGATCTCGCCTCTGATTGGTCACTGTTTTTCGTTAATAACTCGTAAACGAAGCCGCGTATCGCATTTTCGCTAAGGAAAAAGTTGCTTCAAATCACCTCGGGAATCCCCTACTTTCGGATTGCGAGACATTTTTGGGACACCCTATACATATTCCCCGTAACTTTGTTACATACTTACCTGATACCCTATTTACGTGTACGTCGTTGGATAACGGAGCCGGTCGTCCGTGAAGTCTTTCGACGAATCGTAAAACCCGACACCGGGCGGCCGAGCGAGCAAGCGAGCGCGCGCGCACGCCGGAATCGTAAGAGCTTACATAAAAGTGGTCGCGTTGTAATTTCGCCGATAGTCGTCGGCGGACAGTGGACACCGGAAGTCGTCCGCGCTTCGAGGGTCGAATACGGTCGAAGCTAGAGCTCGAATCACGGTCGCGTGAAGAAAGAGGGGGGGGGGGGCGATTCTTTCTGTCATCTTATAGTCAACGATCTTCCTCGGTGAAAAACTTGTGATACTTCGAATCAGTTTCTTCTCATTTTAGGCATCGGTCGCGCGGTTCGAGGCGGCCGATCGCGACCACAGGCGTCGAGGATCGATTCGATTTGATTCGATTCGATTCGCATGCCGTTCTCGGTCACTCGTGGCGCTATCGTCGATTACCGATCCCCGGTCGCGGTCATTCGTCGCGGGAAATCTCGCGATCGCACGACCGATTAGTCGATTAGTTTTCTACGATCATTCCTGGGTGCATTCCTATCGTCGGGTATATCGTGTGGGTACACCGTTCCGTTGGCTCTTCGCTAATTCTTGGTTGACAGGGTTGGGCAAAGTTTGATTTTCAGTAACAATCGACGAAAATTGCAGATCGAGTTAATATCTCATTTGCAAACAACCGTCGAATTTTTTATTCAATTGACAAATTCGTTTTCAGTTTCATTTAAACGAGACCACAAATAATTTGTGTTTATTATTTCTTGTAATAAAAATGTTATTTTTTTATATGGATTCTGTTGTGTATGATACAATAAATATTTTGTACATTGGTATTGCAAATAAAATGTTATTTTTTGGTTCGAATCCAGGTGAAAAGCTGATAACAAATAAATCTTTATTTTTGTTTTCGTTGATTGTGTAATAAATATTAATTTTCATTTGTTGTTATAGAAGAACTTGCGTCTCTCTTCGTGAACTCAATGTTACAACAAATAATAAATCATAAGCAATTAAATGATAATTGATAAGTAACAATTGAAATTGTATTTATAAATAGGAAATAAATTTTATTATTTTAAATAATTTCATTTGGATCTATACGAATATACTAAGTAATTCATTATTGTCTTTTATTCAAGGTTCCAAATAACAAAGAATCTATCATTTAAACAATCACTTAAACGAACATTTGCTTACACAACGTCCAACTCTGGATAATCAGTAAATAACAATTGTAACTGCATTTGTGTAAATAAGAAATATATTTTATTATTTCAAATTATTTCATTTCCATCTGTACAGACACTAAGTAATTCTTTTTGTCTTTTATCTAAATGAAAAATTATTTTAAATCAAGGTTCTCCAAATGACAAAGAGTCTTCTACTCGAGCAATCATTTCAATGAACACTTGCTTAAACAAATGCCCAACCCTGTTGGTGGATACAGTCTTACGCCTATGCTCCATATTTGTACCGAATAATTTTCCTTGACCGACTGTAAAACCCCGTTCGGATTTCGCACGATGATCGAAAGAGTTTCGAGCGTTTTATCCGACGGCGTCGCGGTCGAGCATTCCGTCGTGCGGCACGACGAGAGCCTCTCGTTTTTCATTATCCTCGTTTGGCCGATCGCAGAGCAGTTGCGTGGTGTGGACGTACCCGTGTACGGCTCGTCCTTTCGCGCATTTCGCCGAGTGTAGCCGTGGAGGGGGAGGGGGGAGGCGGCCGGGTGTCGGTTGCGGGAGTTTATGAAACAGATCAGGACTTTCACGGTCCGAGTGGGGATTAGAACGACTAGATGCTTATTGGCGTGAAGTTCGACCTTGCGAGGAATAGTCGCGGCGTTCGTTGACGTTGTACACCCCTCTCTAAAAGCATTAGGACACTCGCGGTAAATTCAATGAACGTGAAAAGCCGATAGGAGATTGCTGTAATTGTTGAAACTAATTTCAAAGTGAACTACGTTAAACTGTAACAAGTGCGTCCATATAATTTACGTTGTGATAAAAATAACCTCAATTCCATGAGAAAAAATTAAACGTTCCTTTCGTCGATACATCCACCGCGTTTTTTAAAAATTATAAATTAATTTCGGCATTCGTTTTATTAGTAAACTGATTATACAAGTGACAAATGCTGCAACTCGATATGTATTTTCGGCAATACGATGTCGCTTCGAAGACTCGCAGACGTTAACCTAACCTAAACGAAATATTACAATTTGTATTAAACAAGCAGGTAACCTAATACTTTTGGCGGGGCGGCGTACACGTCTTCCGACGGTACAATAAACGCGTACAATCATTCGTAAATTTTAGTATACGACCGTCGGCCAAGATCAGCGGCCATCGTCACGACTATTATCGATAATTAAACGTCGCGCGGAGCATCGATAATACGGCGCCGAACGGTGAGCATAATCGGCGACGGGTGTCAATATAGATCGAACCATTACCAAAATTAGGTCGTACCAATGACCATAATTGACTATTGGCCACCGGCGAGCGCGTCGCGTCGATAACAGGTTACCGGGCAGCGACTAGAAACGTTGTCCAACCGCAATTCGCAGTCTATAATGCCGGTATCATTTTCAATCGGCGCCCGTACCACAAGAATGTCACCGATCTCTCCCCGACAATAACAGATCGTCGTAATAGTCCCGGCTGAAATCGGTTACAACGTCACCGAAAAACGTGACTATTCCGCGATCGGATGGCGAAGCGTGCGGTTTGCCTACTTTTACAGGCACGTCAGATTGAAAATATCAAATTTAGCTTTCGGATCGCTAATTGGAATTTCTTCCATTCGGTTTAGTCGTTCCCGTCGTTTCTGCTAATAATTCCGAGCCGCGCGCTCGTGAGAAAGACATGACAACAAATCGCGAGCTGATCGCCAGGCTTTTCCCAACGGATTCCCGTCGGGAGAACCGCCATTGGCGTCGCGCGTGCCACGCATACTATACAGGCTGTCCCAAAATTATGTTACTTCTGGGAAATGGGTTCATGAGGTCATTCGAAGCAACTTTTTCCTTAGCGAAAATGCGATCCGTGGCTTTGTTTATGAGTTATTAATGAAAGACGCTTGACCAATGAGAGGCGCGAGCTCTCCTGGCACGACGCGGTCGAGCTAATGAGCCGCACAGGGCTCCGACCGCTCGTTGGCTGGGCCGTGTCGCGACGGCCGCGCTCGCACTCTCATTGGTCCGCGTTTTTCGTCGATAACTCGTAAACGATGTCGCGGATCGCATTTTCGCTAAGAAAAAAGTTGTTTCAAATCACCTCAGCAACCCTTCATTTGCCGGAAATACCATAATTTTGGGATAACCTAATATATGTGCTCTCCGCGAGTCGTGTCAGTATTACAGCAGAGAGCGGAGAGGATCCGAGCAACCGGCGAACGTCCCGCGCGACCGTTACGGACGTTTTCCCACGTCGTTTTTCTACTCCTCCAAGTTTTGTACTTCCGACCGTGTCAACGTTGTCACATTGCACCCACGCGCAGCCATGAAATTTCGAACGAGATTGCTTTCCTTTTGGTCACGAACTCAGTGTTTGAGGGGAAATGAGTTACACGAGGAATGGGGGCCGGGCGACGCATGCGCCGGGCGTCCCGCACAGTGGCGTCGCGCACGGTGGTCCGGAGGAATTTTGAGGAATTCAGTGGCACTTGTTATAACTTTTGAACCGTTATAAATATCTCGATGAAATTTTCACTAAAAATCTTTTCACGGCGCGTCTATCGTCGCCAACTCTTATTAACTTCTTATTAACTTCTAGCAGCCGAATCAGTCTCTAATCATTCGAAGCTAGAAATTTTAAAGACGCATGCGCCAGGCGTCCCGCACAGTGGCGTTGCGCACGGTGGCCCGGATTGAGGAATTCAGTGGCACTTGTTATATAACATTTGAACCGTTATAAATATCGCGATGAAATTTTCACTAAAAATCTTTTCACGGCGCGTCTATCGTCGCCAACTCTAATTAACTTCTTATTAACTTCTTATTAACTTCTAGCAGTCTAATCAGTCTCTAATCATTCGAAGCTAAAAATTTTAAAGACGCATGCGCCGCCTGCCCCCACTCCTTGCGTAACTTATTTAACTGAGAACACCGACCCCAATGTCTTCTGCTGATCGCACGGACTATAACCGTCGTCTTTTATTTTCGGATACGCACGCGCAGCTTCGGG